CACGGCAGAGGGCAGTGCCCCAGGGACTCCTCAGGAGAGGGACCTGCTGGTGAAGCCACTGGCAGTGAACCCTCATCCAGGGCGGCTCCCAGCCTGACGGTCCTTGCCCTAGGCTGGCCTCAGAATACCCCACAGGTCCCACCCGGGAGAGTGGGGCCGGGAGAGCAGGTCAGGATGGCCATCTGCAAATCCACCACAGACTCAGGCCCAGACGTGCACAGTCCAGCCACCAAACTCCACCCAAGCTGGCATGGGCGCGGGCAGGGGAGCCAGTGTTTGGCGGGAGCGCAGACCCACACGGCACAGGCCACCAGCCATGCTCAGCTGCTGCACCGCCCTGGATGCCAGCTAGGGCCCACCAGGGTCAGCTGTGACCCCCAGACGTGGGACCCACATCCCTCCTCACCCTCCATCAGGTGCTCGTGCCTGGCGTGTCATAGATGCCAGCGGCCCCGAGGGACTGGAAGATCAGCGCTCAGCCTGCAGCTGTGGGGAAGAAGGACCTGGGAGATGAGGAGGGTGAGGGAGAAGGCCAGGAAAGGCGGGGAGGGAGGGGTGCAGGGCGCTGTGAAGGGGGAGAGCAGAGGCGGAGAGGCGGGTTTGGGGCCGGGACCACAGCCGGAATTGCAGGGTCTTCTAAGGACCTCCTGGGCGGTGTGCAGCTGGACTCAAAGACCCTCGTAGCTACAGCCTCCAGAAGGCAATGAGGCTGTGCAGGGGTGGGGGTCAGCAGCTAGGAGAGAGGGCAGCAGACGAGGGGAGGGTGGGGTGTGCTTTCTGCAGCGGTTTGCTCTGGACAGATGGGCTCTGTAGGGCTCTCCAGGAAACCACCCACAGATGGTGTGCAGAGACTCATGAGTCTCCACCGTGGTGTGGAACCCGCTCGTGCGATCATGGAGGCTGAGGCCCAGGAGGGTGCCGGTGTGGTACAGTCTGGGCTTCAGTTTGAAGACAACAGACGATGGGCTGGCGCGGTGGCTCACACCTGTCAGCTCAGCCCTTTGGGAGGCAGAGGCGGGTGGGTCACTTGAGGTCAGGAGTTTGACACCAGCCTGGCCAACACAGCAAAACCCGCCTCTACTAAAAATACAAAAAAAAAAAAAAATTGGCCAGGCGTAGTGGCAGGTGCCTGTAGTCCCAACTACCGGAGAGGCTGAGGCAGGAGAATTGCTTGAACCCAGGAGGTGGAGGTTGCTGTGAGCCAAGATGGAGCCACTGCACTGCGGCCTGGGTGACAGAGGGAGACTTCCTCAAACAAAAACAAAGATCTGAACTTAAAATGCTCCCTAAACTCCAGCTGGGGTGCACAGCAGGAGGCTGGGTCCCTGGGGCTTCAGGGGCCGACTGGGCCGGGGATTCCGGTGAGCGGAGTGTGGGGAGTCAGCAGGGTGGGGTGGGCTCAGAACCCGGAGACAGGCCGGAGCGGTGTGGCCCAGCTGCTGTGAGGATCAGAGACTCACGGGAGAGGAGGGGAGACAGTGGGCACGGGCAGACGCTGCGCTCGGAGCTGTGCCACGAGGGTCCCTGGGTGGAGGACGGGGTCGCCACGAGGCATCGCGTCCCTGGGGCCGTGGACACGCAGCGTGTGCCGTGGACAGGGCAGTTCACCATAACGTCCCCAGATGACGCTGATGCTTCTGGTCTGGGACCTGCACCAGGATCCTTGGGTGACTCAGAGGTCCCCTGAGGTTTGTCATCATGAATTCAAAGTAGCACAGATCGGGACAGCTGGGCCCTCTCCCCTCAGCATGCTCTGAGGCGGCGGCGCAGATGCAGAGCGGCCAGGGAGTGGGCAGGAGGCTGGAGGGCAGTGGGACGGTCTCCGCTCAGTGCAGTCTCCCAGGCTGGAGGGCAGCTGGACGGTCTCCGCTGAGTGCAATCGCTGCCTCCTGGCTTCAAGCAATTCTCCTGCCTCAGCCTCCCAAGTAGCTGGGACTACAGACACGCGCCGCCATGCCCAGCTCACTTTTTTGTATTTTTAGTAGAAACGGGGTTTCACCATGTTGGTCCAGATGGTCTTGATCCGCCTGCCTCAGCCTCCCAAAGTGCTGTGATTACAGGCGTGAGCCACCGCACCTGGCCACTTGCAGGTTTTCCTGAGGAGGCTTGTTGGCTCCAGAGGGGAAGATGGAGTCTGGCAGGGAATAGGGGGAGGCTGGAGGTCTCAGGCTGGCCCTGGAGCGGAAGGAGAAGGGAGGCGTGGGGAGTTGGGACTGCAGTGAAGTCTGAGTCCGCAGAGCTGGGAAGGGGGAGCACCTGGCCAGGATTTCAGGCAATCTGCTCTGTTATTAAAATTGCCAAGAGTAGTGACGGTGGAGCTGGAGTGAGGGAGGGAGTGCAGAGAAGTGGGGCGCTTAGGGCTTGGCACGTGAAGCCCCAGGGCACAAAGTGAAGACAGGGGCTGAGCTGGGTGGAGCTGGGAGAGGGAAGGCAGGCACTGGGGCCCTGATGGGAGGGCAGAGCGCTGCCCTCACGAGGCCAGGTGAGCTCCTTCAGAAGCCTGCCTGCGAACCTGTTACAGAGAATGAGGTGGACTCGTCCAGGCGAGAGGTCTCCTGCTGTTCACACAACAGCGTGCAAAGGACAGGAGGCCATGCTCATGCAGGTCTCTGCCTGGAAAATGCTGGAAGGTGGCTGGGCTCAGTGGCTCATACCTGTAATCCCAGCAAAGTCTGGGAGGCCGAGGCGGTTGGATCATTTGAGGTCAGGAGTTCAAGACAAGCCTGGCCAACACGAGGAAACCCCGTCTCTACTATAAAACTCCAAAAATGAGCCGGGCGTGGTGGTGCACGCCTAGGCAGGAGAATCGCTTGAACCTGGGAGGCGGAGGCTGACAGTGTTTTCAGTGGACAGCGGTTTCCTGGGAGAATTGTAGAATGTCAGGGAGCACCCGTGCACACTCACCCGCTAGGGTGTTCTGTCCACGGCGGACGGCGCGCACGGTGGTGGCTATAGGTTAGAAGGCTGCATTCCTCTGTGCCTTCTCCATGTTCAGGCAGGCTGCACACATGGTCTCCACCCTATCCAGCGGCCCGTGGGTTCAGCAGGACCTCATGCTGTGCAGGTAGCAGCCTGGGGGCAGTGGGCTACACCTCGCAGCCTGGGTGAGCCTCTGCCACCTGCCACCTGGGTGAGTGGAAGCGCAGCTGAGACCCTCCATGACACTGACATCACCTGGCTGCTGGTGTCTCAGGACGCGCCCTGTGTTGAGGGACACATGAGTGCCTATTAACTCAGGCTGGGTTTTCAGGGTCCAGGCGCAGGCCTGTTCCAGATGGCTGGGGTTCACATCCTCCTCTTCCTTTTTTTTTCGAGACAGAGTCTTACTCTGTGGCCAGGCTGGAGTGCAGTGACGCCATCTCAGCTCACTGTAATCTCCACCTCCCGGGTTCAAGTGATTCTCCTGCTTTAGCCTCCCAAGTAGCTGGGATTATAGGTGCCCGCCACCACGCCCAGCTCAGTGTCTATATTTTTAGTAGAGTCAGGGTTTCACCGTGTTGGCCAGACTAGTCCCAAACTCCTGACCTCATGGCTTGCCCCCCTCACCCTCCCAAAGTGCTGGGATCACAGGCATGAGCCACTGTGCCCGGCCTCGTCCTCTTCCTTTTTGTGTGACTTGGTTTCCTCAACTGGATGGTGGAACAGAGGGGACACAAGTGTGTCGGGACAGGGCCTGCTTGGCCACTTGGAGGCCCAGCCCCAATGCCCAGGCAAAATTGCACAATTCACATTTTGTAACTTATCCGTTTATATTTTATTCTCACCAGAACACTGGGAACCCTGAACAAAACTGATTTTATTTTGCTCTTGACATGTGTATGTCCCACCAGCACCCTCTACCTGTGGCTTCTGGAGGGTGTCCCCTTTGCCCCCCCTCCCGCCACTCACCACTCTGCAGCCTCCCCCTGCAGCCCCCTGTACCCCCTCCCCTCTCTGCAGCCCCCTGCACCCCCTCCCCTCTCTGCAGCCCCCTGTACCCCCTCCCCTCTCTGCAGCCCCCTGCACCCCCTCCCCTCTCTGCAGCCCCCTGCACCCCCTCCCCTCTCTGCAGCCCCCTGCATCCCCTCCCCTCTCTGCAGCCCCCTGCACCCCCTCCCCTCTCTGCAGCCCCCTGTACCCCCTCCCCTCTCTGCAGCCCCCTGCACCCCCTCCCCTCTCTGCAGCCCCCTGCACCCCCTCCCCTCTCTGCAGCCCCCTGCACCCCCTCCCCTCTCTGCAGCCCCCTGCACCCCTCTCTGCAGCCTCCACTCTTTCTCCCATTGCTCCCACCATGGCTGCTTGGAGAAGTGAGACTCTAAGGCCCCAGTGACTGGCCCAGCAGAAGCCCTGGGTCTCCACCCGCCTGGGCGGGGTTGGGGACAGGCCTGGCCTCCCCCACTTACTGGAACCCACTGGGGATGCCCCCCTCCCACTGAAACCTCAGAATTCCAAAGGCAACTGGGTGTAGCCCAGTTTCCAGCTCAGCCCGATCCACCACAGACCCTCCTGATTTCGAGAGCCCCTGTGGCTCTGCCAGAGGACATTCCGATCCTTGGTCGTGGCTGGGAATGGAGGGACATCAGCCCCTCTCACTGACAGATAAAGAAACTGAGGGCAGTTTGTCCCAACCCCAAGGCCAGGGTCAGCCTCCTCCCAGGGAGTCAGGGAGGTAGCTGGGGTCTGGCGGGGGAACACATGGCCTGGAATCCCCGGGCCACTTGAGACCCTCTGGGCTCGTTGGGGGGGTCCTGAGCACCCAGGGCCCCCCCTTCTCCTCCCCATCTCCCAACTCAGTACTCAACCTGATGTTGCCTTCAGCCTGAGAGGGAGACCCTGAAGGGTGGTCACCCAGCACAAGCTCCCCTGCCTGGCCTGGGACCAAGAGTCCCAGGAGCCCCAGGCTGGCTGGATGCTGACCGCCTCACTCAGGGCATGCGTGCCTTTGGAAACAAGAACCAGCTGACACCTGTGGGACATTAGCCCTGCTCTCTTGGGTACTGTGCAGGCCTGGGGACTGTTTCTCTTGAGGAGGTGGCTGTTTTGTAGCTGGAGAGCTGCGTGGGTGAGAAACAGAAACAACCCCCAAGCCTTGTGACCTGGGAGGCAGGAGGCGGGTCTGTCCCCCTGGGACTGGGGCAGCTGCTCAGAGGTGCTCAGCATTGCGTCTTGCTCATGGTGAGTCTTGGGGAGTCAGGAGACAGGGGTTGTGTTTTTGGGGAGCATGGAGCCAGGTTGAGGTCCGGGGGTGGAAAGCCCCTGTCTTCTCTGACTGCCTGCAATGCAGCATCGGGGAGGGAGAACCTCAGTTAGTAGGCACCTACTGTATGCCATGGGGCGCCATCTTGGGCAGCAAAGGGTGAAAGTCTTGGATGATGGAAGGGGGGAGGCTCATCTCTAAGCAGGGCTAAGAGTCTGGGGTGACTGTGTCTGGAGGGTGGGGAGGCCAGGCTGAGAGGCTCCGACCTCATGGGAGCCGAGAGCCTACTGGGGTGTCCCTGAGAGGTGCTTCACTGGGACTCACTGGGAGGAAGAGGTCCCCCCCTGGTGCAGATGTGGGGTATGGGGGTAGAGTGGTGGGGTCAGCCATGGGGGGCCTGGGTGGGGTGAGGAGGGATTCGGGGAAGCCACCAGCCTCAGGGTGGGCTGGATGCTGGGAGGGAGGCACTGGGGGCAGAAGCCGGGGTGCTGCCCTTGCAGCTGGGCCTGCAGGCTGAGGAGCCTGGGGACTTCCCAGTGCAGACATCAGCCTTGTCAGGAGCCAGAAGAGAGGCGGCTGCTGCTGAGCCTTCCGTGAGCCATGGGGGCTTCCCAGGGAAAGAGACAGGGCCAGGCTGGCTGTGGAGCCTCACGCTCCCGGGCATGCCTTCCTCAAGGCTTATTTGGGGGCTGCTGTGCCAGGCTCCGTGGGTGGTCACATGGGCCCCACGCTGATGTGGGCTCGTGCCCTTGCAGGTACAAGGACAGGCTGACGTGGGCAGGGGCACGTGTGTGGCTAACCTCTGGGCGTGTGTGTGTCTGTGTGCACGTGTGTAGTATCTGAGTGTGTTTACTTACAGCATGTGGGAAAGTCTGCATGTGCCTGTTCTGGGTACGTGGACATCTGACCATGTGGGCTTGCGATGTGTCCAGGTTCTCCTGTCTGCAGTGTTCCCGATGTTCTGTGTGTGTGCAGGTGTGTGGGGCATGGGCGGGTCCCCATTGCCAGTGGTTACTTGTGCAGAAGTGGTGACATCTGATAGGCGTGTGATGGTGTCTGCACATCGGCTGTGGATGTGGCTTGTATGCAGTTCTGGGAGACAGAGCCAGGTGGACTCACAGACACACTCGGCGTCTGACCCACAGCCTTCTCTCTGTTGAGGCTGTCGCCTGCTTTCTGGACAGAGCTGGGTCAGCACCACCGTGTGAGGAGAGAGTGTGGGGTGGTCCTCGGTGCAGCCATCTCTGGAGATGGAACCTGGCACAGACAGGAATGTGGACCAGGAGTCTCTGATGTGGCAGCTCAGGCTCATCACAAAGCGCTTCTCCCATCCCCCAGCGGCTCTCTGAGCAACGCTTCTCTAAATATTAACGTTTGGGGCCAGGACTCCTAAGCCCGGCTGTCTGGCTAAGCCTCACCATGGCCAGGGGAGGGGACCCTGGGCAGTCGGGGACATGAAAGACGCACACCCAGAACTGGTGTTAGAAAAAGAATTACAAACACACCCTGAGCCTTTCCCACCGCGACCCTGTGGGCTGCACCCTCCATGTCAAGACGTCCGGTGAGGCACAAGCACTCCCCCCATTCCTGTCCACAATGGCAAGAGGAAGAAAATTAAAAAAGAATAATGCAGTCATCAGAGCAGAAAGGTCTCCAGATTCCGACCCATTTCTGGGAATGAGGAAGTGAAGGGAAGAGCCTGTCTGTGGGGCCGACTGGGGGCGCACTGGGAGTCAGGAAGACGCTCACGGTTGATGTAATAACTGACCCCAGGACGACCCAGACACACACATCATCCTAACCCACCCTCAGCCGGAAGAGAGTCAGGACGCCCTTCTCTAAATATGTTTTTGAGAATCAGGGTGGCTATTTTTACAACTGCTGCTGGGTGCGGGCCGTGGCAGCTACTTTAAAAACAGCCACTGTGGACCCAGCTACTTGGGAGGCTGAGGTGGGAGGATCGCTTGAGCCTGGGAGTTGGTGTCCAGCCTGGGCAGGATAGCAAGACCCTATCTCATTAAAAAAAAAAAAAAAGAGTGACACTTGCATTCTGGGTTAAAGGGCCTCTGGTAACGGGGCATCTCCAGAGCTCGTCCGGACAAGCCTGGAGTTGAGAGCCCACCTTGCCGTCACTTTATTTGTAAAGGTTAAATTCGAAGTGACAAAGATCACCAGCTACTGAAGGAAGTCCAGATGGACACGGGGAGCGGTGCCCGCATTCCATCCAGCAAACCAAGCGCGGCTGATCCAAGCAGCCCTGACAGGGCCCGGAAAAGAACACAGGAATCCTCAGAAGACACCCTCCGACACCAGGCGCACAACCCCCCAAAAAAAGACAAGAGAGTCGGGCGCGGTGGCTCAAGCCTGTAATCCCAGCACTTTGGGAGGCCGAGGAGGGTGGATCACGAGGTCAAGAGATCGAGACCATCCTGGTCAACATGGTGAAACCCCGTCTCTACTAAAAATACAAAAATTAGCTGGGCATGGTGGCGCGTGCCTGTAATCCCAGCTACTCAGGAGGCTGAGGCAGGAGAATTGCCTGAACCCAGGAGGCGGAGGTTGTGGTGAGCCAAGATCGCGCCGTTGCACTCCAGCCTGGGTAACAAGAGCGAAACTCCGTCTCAAACAAACAAAAAAGATGAGAGAAACGTCCTGGGTGACAAAACAGAGAAAACGGGGCGCAAGAAACGGGGGACGGGAGGCAGAAAGGGAGCCCAGACCGTCTGGCCTGGCCTGAAACCTGCACCAGACAGCCATCAGAAAGGAGGTGTCGGAGGAGGAATACTGATGGCTGGAAAGGTCCCTGAACCTGAGGCTGAGCGAGAGCTCCAGGGACGAAAATAAAGCCTCACCCTAGAACACGTGGCAGAGAAGCGCAGAGCTCCGAGGAAACAGGGGCTCCACACCTCGTCGCCCCAGAAAGCTGGCTCAGGCCCACAGGACGTGGCTCCCGTCAGCCACGTGTGCACAGACTGACCGTACTGCGTTCGTGTCCTCAGGGGAAAAGGTTTACCACCCAACATGCACATCCAGCAAAGCGGCTGATAGTGAGGGGGGCTGAATAAAGGCACAGGGGCGGGGGAGGGCTCGGGGTTGAATTCACCGGCAGCCTGGCGCCAGTGTCTGCCACTGGCGAGGACCTCAGGGAGCCTCCAGTCATGGCAGAAGGGGAGGAGCAGGTGTCAGGGAAGGAGGGCTGGAGTGTAATTTTCCAGGTCCTTGGCGTTTTGAACAAAGAACTGGACGAAACGTCCACAGTAACTACGGAACGGAGCAGAGGAGGGAAGCAGTGAACACAGGATTTATTAAAGGGAGCGAGCACTCGGGCGTGGGGTGGGAGCGGGCCCCGTTACAAAGTTTTCTGGGGTTTTTTTTGGGTTTGTTTGTGATACGGAGTCTCACTCTGTTGCCCAGGCTGGAGTGCAGTGGCTGCATCTCGGCTCACTGCAACCCCCCTCCCGCCTCCCAGGTGCAAGCAATTCCCCTGCCTCAGCCTTCAGAGTAGCTGGGACCACAGGTGCACACCACCACGCCCGGTTAATTTTTGTGGTTGCTCCATGTGGGTCAGGCTGGTCTTAAACTCCTGACCTCAGCTGATCCGCCTGCCTCGGCCTCCCAAAGTGCTGGGATGACAGGCGTGAGCCACCGCGCCCGCCAGTTTCCTTCATTTCGAGCGCACGTTTCGTGGTTCCTGTTGGCTACTCGTTATCCAGATGAAAGGTGTGGCCCGTGGCTAATCTAAGGCCGAGGTGAGCTGTGTCTGTGCAGATGAAGGGATGGCCACTGCCACGCCCTGGTGCTTCCCTTTCTACCCAGGTGTGGTGGGAGGGGCTGGCGGCAGAGAAGCCTCTGATTCTTTTCCACTGGGCGTGGGGCTTTTCCTTTTGGTTTAGTTGTTGGAAGTTGGCGTGAATTGGCCTCAGGTTCCCTGCCCCCAGCCCGGGGTGTTTTCCTTGATTCAGCACGAATTGACTTCGGACTCTCTGCCCCGAGACCTGGGTGTTTTCTCTTTTAGGAAGTCAGCACATATTGAGCTCCCATTCCCCGCACCCGGCCCTCTGTGCTTCCTGGATTCCACGTGAACTGGCCTTAGGTTCCCTGCCCCCAGACCCCGGTCTTCTGCCTCACAGGCATCACGTGCGGAGAGGGAGTCAGAGTGATGGGGAGGCGGCAGGCCCGGTTTAACCATCAGAACAGCACCAGGCCATCCATGAGGGATCTGTCCCTGGGACCCCAAAACTCCCAACACTGGGGATTCAATTTCCACACGAGATTCGGACAAGCATCCAAACTCTGTCAAGACTAGAAACCAAACAGAGGTGGGAGACCTCCAGCACGTAAATGAAGTGAGCCCCGAGATTCCAAGCTGGGGGCAGCAGGGTGACGAGGGAGGGCATGGGGGCAGGAGGGAGGTCGCAGAGCTCAGAGCGTGGGAGGCGGAAGATGACGAGGGCACCCAGTGAGGGGCAGGAAAAGAAGGGCAACTGGACAGTCTGGGACAAACTCGAACCCCAGGGAGAAGACGGTGAGGCTGAGGCTGAGAAAGGTGACCAGCTCTCCCATGCTGCCTTTCCACGGCGGCCGTGAGAGGGGCACCCACAGCCTACCAGGCCACCCTCATGTGGAATGAAGTCAGTGGCTTAGAGTCTGGGGAATGGCGCAAAATGCAGTCCACACAGGGCCGTTTTGCCGGGCACGTGGAAGAGCTCACACACCTACGGTGAGGCCCAGAAATTCTCGTATTTGAATAAGGGCGCTGCATTTTTGTTTTGCACTGGGCCCTGAAGGGTGCAGCTGGGTGGCAGGCTTTGGCTCTGCGCCCCACCCAAAATCTCATCTCGGGTTATAATCCTCACGTGTCAAGGGAGTGACCAGGTGCAGGAGATTTCGTCGTGGGGGCAGCTCACCCCGTGCGTGTGCTCCTGGCAGTGGGCGAGTTCTCGCCAGACCTGGTTTTTAAGAGAGTCTGGCCCTTCCTGTCGCACTCTTTCTCTCCGGCTGCGACGTGAGATGCCTTGCTTCCCCTTTGCCTTCTGCCGTGATTGTGAGTTTCCTGAGGCCTCCCCAGCCATGCAGAACTGTGAGTCAATTAAGCCTTTTTTCCTTTATAAATTATCCAGTCTTGGCCAGGCACAGTGGCTCGTCCCTGTTATCCCAGCAGCTTGGGAGGTCGAGGTGGGTGGACCACTTGAGGTTATGAGTTCCAGACCAGCCTGGCCAACATGGTGGAACCTCGTGTCTAGTAAAAATTCAAAATTAGTCAGATGTGGGGCCAGGCATGGTGGCTCACATCTGTAATCCCAGCACTTTAGGAGGCCAAGGCAGGCAGATCATTTGAGGTGAGGAGTTTGAGACCAGCCTGACCAACATGTAAAATCCCATCTCTACTAAAAATACAAAAAAACTAGGCCAGGTGCAGTGGCTCAGGCCTGTAATCCCAGCACTTTGGGAGGCCGAGGCGGGTGGATCACGAGGTCAAGAGATCGAGACCATCCTGGTCAACCTGGTGAAACACCGTCTCTACTAAAAATACGAAAAATTAGCTGGGCATGGTGGTGCGTGCCTGTAATCCCAGCTACTCGGGAGGTTGAGGCAGGAGAATTGCCTGAAATCAGGAGGCGGAGGTTGCGGTGAGCCGAGATCACGCCATTGCACTCCAGCCTGGGTAACAAGAGCGAAACTCCATCTCAAAAAAAAATAATAATAATCCAGGTGTGGTGGCACATGCCTGTAATCCCAGCTACTCAGGAGGCTGAGGCAGGAGAATCACTTGAGGCAGAGGTTGCAGTGAGCTGAGATTGTGCCACTGCACTCCAGCCTGGATGACTGATGGAAACTCTGTCTTAGGAAGAGGAGGAGAGAGAAAGGGGAAAGGGGAGGGGGGGGAGGGGAGAGGAAAAGCAGGGGAGGGAAACCAAGGGGAAGGGAACCCGTGTCTTGGATATTTACTTCTTTTTCTCTTTTTTTTTGAGACGGAGTCTCACTCTGCTGCCCAGGCTGGAGTGCAGTGGCACAATCTCAGCTCACAGCAACCTTCGCCTCTTGGGTTCAAGTGATTCTTCTGCCTCAGCCTCTTCAGTAGCTGGGTCTACAGGCACGTGTCACCATGCCCAGTTAATTTTTTATTTTTAGAAGAGACAGCGGGGGGAGGGGTGTCTCACCATGTTAACCAGGATGGTCTTGATCTCTTGACCTCGTGATCTGCCCGCCTTAGCCTCCCAAAATGCTGGGAATTACAGGTGTGAACCACGGCACCCAGCCATAAATTCTAATCTTTTAAAAATATTGAATGAAAATACTATTTATCATGGCCTGGGCACTGTGGCTTTTTGTATTTTTAGTCGAGATGGGGTTTTACATGTTGGTCAGGCTGGTCTCAAACTCCTCACCTGAAATGATCTGCCCACCTTGGCCTCCTAAAGTGCTGGGATTACAGGTGTGAGCCACCATGCCTGGCCCCACATCTGACTAATTTTGAATTTTTACTAGAGACAAGGTTTCACCATATCGGCTGGGGGTCCTGACTTGGGAGGCTGAGGTATGTGGTTCATATCTGTGGTCCCAGCTACTCAGGAGGCTGGGCGTGGTTGTGGCGCTTGTGGTCCCTGCTAGCTGGGGGGCCAGGCATGGTGGGGTGTGCCTGTGCTCCCAGCTACTCGGGAGGCTTGGGCAGAATGAGCACTTGGGCCCCTGAGGTACAAGTTGCGTAAGCTGAGATCGAGCCACTGCACTCCAGCCGGGGCGACCCTCCTTCCCTACTAGTCTCCCTCCTCCCAAGCCTCTGACCAGCTTTCCCTCCTGCTCCTCCCAGGAGGCCTGGCTTAGCCCTGCTTCTCAGCTCACTGTCCCCAAGAACCCCCAACACTGCCAGCCCTGGGATTGGGATTCTTCCGTCAGGGACTACCAGGCCACTGTGTTCCCAGAAGCCCCCGGGCGACTTGAGTGTGCTCTGCTGAGGCCCACAAAGGCTCCTGCTCAGCCAGAAGCCGGAGTGTGGGTCCCTGTGACGCTGGAGGTCAGAGTAGTGCGGACCCCCCAGCATTAGGGCAGGTGTCGGGGACCAGAGGAGACCAGACCCCTCAGCATTAGGGCAGGCGTCGGGGGCCAGAGGAGACCAGAACCCTCAGCATTAGGGCAGGCATCGGGGGCCGGGGAATGCTGACCCCCCAGCATTAGGGCACGTGTCGGGGGCCGGGGAATGCCGACCCCCCAGCATTAGGGCAGGCATCGGGGGCCGGGGAATGCTGACCCCCCAGCATTAGGGCAGGTGTCGGGGGCCAGAGGAGACCAGACCCCTCAGCATTAGGGCAGGTGTTGGGGGCCAGAGGAGACCAGACCCCTCAGCATTAGGGCAGGTGTTGGGGGCCAGAGGAGACCAGACCCCCCAGCATTAGGGCAGGTGTCGGGGGCCAGAGGAGACCAGACCCCTCAGCATTAGGGCAGGCGTCGGGGGCCAGAGGAGACCAGACCCCTCAGCATTAGGGCAGGCGTTGGGGGCCAGAGGAGACCAGACCCCTCAGCATTAGGGCAGGTGTCGAGGGCCAGAGGAGACCAGACCCCTCAGCATTAGGGCAGGTGTCGGGGGCCAGAGGAGACCAGACCCCTCAGCATTAGGGCAGGTGTCGAGGGCCAGAGGAGACCAGACCCCTCAGCATTAGGGCAGGTGTCGGGGGCCAGAGGAGACCAGACCCCTCAGCATTAGGGCAGGCGTCGGGGGCCAGAGGAGACCAGACCCCTCAGCATTAGGGCAGGTGTTGGGGGCCAGGGAGTGCTGACCCCCCAGCATTAGGGCAGGTGTCGGGGGCCAGAGGAGACCAGACCCCTCAGCATTAGGGCAGGCGTCGGGGGCCAGAGGAGACCAGACCCCTCAGCATTAGGGCAGGTGTCGGGGGCCGGGGAGTGCTGACCCCTCAGCATTAGGGCAGGTGTTGGGGGCCGGGGAGTGCTGACCCCTCAGCATTAGGGCAGGTGTCGGGGGCCGGGGAGTGCTGACCCCTCAGCATTAGGGCAGGTGTTGGGGGCCAGAGGAGACCAGACCCCTCAGCATTAGGGCAGGTGTTGGGGGCCGGGAGTGCTGACCCCCCAGCATTAGGGCAGGTGTCGGGGGCCAGAGGAGACCAGACCCCTCAGCATTAGGGCAGGTGTTGGGGGCCAGAGGAGACCAGACCCCTCAGCATTAGGGCAGGTGTTGGGGGCCAGGAGTGCTGACCCCTCAGCATTAGGGCAGGCGTCGGGGGCCGGGAGTGCTGTCCCCCCAGCATTAGGGCAGGCGTCGGGGGCCGGGAGTGCTGACCCCTCAGCATTAGGGCAGGTGTCGGAGGCCGGGGAGTGCTGTCCCCTCAGCATTTGGGCAACCGTCGGGGGCCGGGGAGTGCTGACCCCCCAGCATTAGGGCAAGTGTCGGGGGCCGGGGAGTGCTGACCCCTCAGCATTAGGGCAGGTGTCGGGGGCCGGGGAGTGCTGTCCCCTCAGCATTTGGGCAACCGTCGGGGCACACCTGGGCTGTTTAGCACCTTCCTGAAACGTCCTAATGTTTTATCCCCCATGGCAAGTCTGGGAAAATTCTTCTTCCGTGGAAAGAGGTACTTCCTGAGAAGGCACGATTTGAGTGACTGATCACTTGCAGCTCTAGACCCCTGGGTCCTGAGGGGAGATAACAGCAACAGCGGCAGCAGCGCAGCATGGCTGACCCCCTCGCCGCTGGCCCTGTGCCCGGCCTTTCCTCAGCCTGCCGTTAGCGTCTTGTCCTTTCATCTGGGCTCTGGCCCCAACCCTGGGTCTGGGATCCTAGCTTCTTTTATTTATTTTATTTTTTGAGTCTTGCTCTGTCACCCAGGCTGTAGTACAGTGGCACAATCTCAGCTCACTGCAACCTCTGCCTCCTGGGTTCAAGAAATTCTTCCACCTCCGCCTCCTGTGTAGCTGGGATTACAGGCACCTGCCATCATGCCCAGCTAATTTTTGTGTTTTTGTCGAGATGGGGTTTCATCATGTCAGCTAGGCTGGTCTTGAACTCCTGACCTCAGGTGATCCACCCACCTCAGCCTCCCAAAGTGCTGGGATTACAGGCATATGCCACCACGCCTGACCAATCCCAGCTTCCTTTTTTTTTTTTTTTGAGGCGGAGTTTCGCTCTTGTTACCCAGGCTGGAGTGCAATGGCGCCATCTCGGCTCACCACAACCTCCGCCTCCTGGGTTCAGGCAATTCTCCTGCCTCAGCCTCCCACGCAGCTGGGATTACAGATACGCGCCACCACGCCCAGCTAATTTTTTGTATTTTTTTAGTAGAGATGGGGTTTCACCATGTTGACCAGGATGGTCTCGACCTCGTGACCTCGTGATCCACCCGCCTCGGCCTCCCAAAGTGCTGGGATTACAGGCGTGAGCCACCGCGCCCGGCCCGATCCCAGCTTCTTATACCCCTCTGCCTAGCCCAGATAGCGACGCCCGGTCACTGGGTGTCTGGCCTTCCATCCTACCCACTCTCTCGGGGACTGTGTTGGTTACTCATTGAACATGGGAAGCTGTAAACAGGAGACAGCCCAGCGATCACCACTTCCACCAAAGACCTGTGGTACCTCCCCTGGCAGGCGGAGTGGCTCCTCACAGGGCGAAGCTCATCCTTCTCCAGCACGAGACAGCCAGGCCAGCACAGAGGCACCAGAGCAGCAAGGCAGGCAGGTTCCCGGACCATGTGGACCAGATGCTGGCTCTGGCCCCTTGTGGCCATGTGCACTGCAGACTTCTTTCGGGACGAGGCAGAGAGGATCATGAGGGACACCCCTGTCATTGATGGGTGAGTGGCCATCTAGGCCAGGTGCTTAGGAAACCAGGATTGGGAGCCAGGGCAGCTGGGGGAGCTGGGGCTGGGGCTGGGGTAGCCAGGGCTGGGAGCCAGATTGGGGGAGCTGGGGTGAGGCTCATGTGGCCTTGACTTGGGGCTCAGTTTCTGCAACTGTGCCAGGGCCTTGCCCTTTCCTGGCTCATACTGCTTTGTGGGGTCTCTCAGGGCCCCCAAAGCCTTCAGCAGATGAAGGTCTGCAGGGAGCGGGGCAGGAAGGAGGCAAGGCCCGAGCTCCTGGGCCCTTACGCTCAGAGCGAGGTCTGTGCCTGGGGACGGTGAGGCCCTGGGCCCCAGACTCTGCCTGTGCCTCTCTGGGCCTCGGCTTCTCAGGAAAGCTGCAGGTGGGGTGGTGCCTCAAGGCCCTCTCTGCCAGCATTTTTTGGCTCCTCCCGCTCCCACAGCCTACACTCTCCTGAGGGGAGACCCATGTAGCCTGTGCCCACCCCACCCCCACCCTGACCTCACTGGGACCCTTGCGTCACCTGCTTCTCTCTCAGCCTCCGCAGGGTCGGGATTCCCACTGCCCAGGAACCTGACCCTCCTCCCCACCCCTCCTGGCCCAGCACCGCAACACTGGGTTGCCATGGGGGCCTCCTGCTTCCAGGCACCAGACTCAGACCACGTTAACACTGGCTCCGTGCGTGGGCAGGAGGCTCCCTGAGAGTCTGCCCTACGTCCGGCAGTGTCTCCACCTGGAAGATGCCTCTGGGCTTTGTCTAAGAAAAAAGCTCTATTAAAAAAGCAGGAAAACCCAATGTCTTATTACATAAGAACTTTAGGACCCCTAGCGCAGTGGCTCATGCCTGTAATCCCACCACTTTGGAAGGCCAAGGCGGGTGGACCACCTGAGTTCTGGAGTTCAAGACCAGCCTGCCCTACATGGAGAAACCCCATCTCTACTAAAAATATAAAATTAGCCAGGTGTAGTGGTACATGCCTAGGATACTCGGGAGGCTGAGGCAGGAGAATCACTTGACCCTAGGAGGTGGAGGTTATGGTGAGCCGAGATTGCGCCATTGCACTCCAGCCTGGGCAACAAGAGCAGAACTGTGTTTAAAAGAAAAAAAAAAAAAAAAAAGAACTTCAGGGAACAGGCCAAGCTGGGTGTTTCACGCCTGTAAATCCCAGGATTTTGGGAGGCTGAGGTGGGCAAATCACCCAAGGTCAGGAGTTCAAGACCAGACTGGCCAACATGGTAAAACCCTGTCTCTACTAAATGTACAAAAAATTAGCCAGGCGTGGTGACAGATACCTGTAGTCCCAGCTATTCAGGAGGCTGAGGCAGGAGAATCACTTTAACCTGGATTCTCAATCAATGCAGTGAGCTGAGATTGCACCATTGCACTCCAGCCTGGATGACAGCGAGACACCATCTCAATTTTAAAAAACAAAAACAAAACACAAGACACTTAAGGGAGCACAGGGTGGCCCATGCCCCCGCCCTTCCTCCCCGCCCGCCTCCTTCCTGTTGGCTTCCTCCTGGCCTGTCACCTGGTGCTCAGGGGTCAAGCCCCTCACACAGGCTCAGTGGGGAATGGAGGCTCCCACCCTGCAATCCCTGCTCTGTGGCAGGAGAGGGTCTGGGCTTAGGGACTGGGCGTCCCACAGCAGTGAGGGCAGGCCGAAGACACCGGCTACGGGGGGACCCCAGGCCACACAGGGAGGATCTGAGTGCAGGTGTCTGGCTTGAGCAGGGTCCCAAGTGAGCCAATAGCCAGGAAGGTTCGGGGATCTGGGATTGTCCTAGACAGGTCTGGCAGGCAGGCAAAGCTGACATGCTAGTGGCTCTAGCAGGTGAGAGACCCACAGAAGTAGCTCCAACAGCAGGGAAGTGTTGAACGGCAGTTCAAGGTGCCACCACCCGCACCCTCACGGTTTAAAGGGGCCACGCCGCTCCACCCTCATGTCTGCACGCGGGCCAGCAGGGAGAAGGGAGGGATAAAGAAGGGAAGAAGGGTCCAGGCACTGTGCTCACGCCTGTAATCCCAGCATTTTGGGAGGCCGAGGCAGGCGGATCATGAGGTCGGGAGATCGAGACCATGCTGGCTAACACGGCGAAACCTCATATTTACTACAAAAAATTAGCCCGGTGTGGTGGAGCCCATCTGTAGTCCAGGCTCCTCAGGTGGCTGAGGCGGGAGAATGGTTTGAACCTGGGAGGCAGAATGGCAGCAAGCCAAGATGGCGCCACTACACTCCAGCCTGGGCAACAGAGCGAGACTCCATCTCAAAAAAACAGCTGTCACAGGACCCAACTTACACAGCCACACCCAGTGACATAGGGGCAGGGAGGTCTTCAATCCTAATGGCTGTATGCCAACTAAAAATGGGGGGCTTTAAAGTTACAAAGGAAAAGGAGAAGAAGAGGTAGCGGGAACGGCCAGCAGTCCCTCCCGGGAACAGCTGCCTGAGTGTGTGCTCGCTGCCATTACAGCACATTTCAGCGATCCTTGGAGCAGGATACGGATTCCATGTGCCAGCTAAGGGCACTGCCGCAGCCCGCACAGATAAGGAGGGTGGGTCTGATTAGCTTCTGAACTGCAGTTTGACCTGAGCATAAGGCAGGTGTGGCCTCTGTCCCACAGAGAAACCAGGGGCCCCACCCTCCCATCTTTTCCAGCAAGAGCGGAGAGGGCTGGCTGGGCACGGTGGTTCACACCTGTGGTCCCTGTACCTTGGGAGGATTGCTTGAGCCCCAGAGGCTGGGGCTGCAGTGAGCTGTGATTGCACTCCTGCCCTCCAGCCTGGGCAACAGAGTGACACCCTGTCTCAAAAAAGAAAAAAGGGGGGACAGCAGGAGGGGGATGGAGGCAAGAGCAGAGCGGGCTGTTGTGGCCTCTCCCTCCAAGCCGGCTCCTGGGGTGTGGGAATCCCTGCCCATCCCAGGCTGATGTCCTCAGGCCAGGGAGTCACGTCTGCTCCTGGAGCCCCACCCGCCCCTGCCCAGGACAGTGCCCAGTGCAGGGCCGCACCCTGGCAACGAGGCTGCCCCCCAGGCAGGGTCCCTGGCTGGAGCTCATGGTTCCCACAGCAAATGCTCCCTGAGCCGTCGCTCTGTGCCGAGGGCTGGGGAGAGGCAGGTGCCAGCCCAGGCTGTCACGTGGGCCTGCTGTCACCAGAGACCTTCTTCTTGTCGCAGGAGCTTTGGGAATGACTTTGCACTAGTGTCAGCCATGTGCCTGTCTGTCTGCCCAGGGCTGGGGCTGGAAAGTGTGCCAAGCTGGGTTTGGGGGCACCAGCCCAGGGGAGGTCAGGGGCTGCAGGGACCCAGGAAGGGCAGAACCCTCCCCTGGTTTCCCCGCAGCAGGAGCTCTGTGGGTGGACTTGCCTTTGAAAAGCTCATTTCAGGCAGGTAGATTTGGGCGGGGTCAGGAAGATAATCTTCAGGGCCCACAGCTGGAGACTATTAATGGTTACTCCTCTGCCTCTCCCAGTTGCCCTCTGAGGAAGGCACCAAGACACCCTCATTTACAGATGGGGAAACTGAGGCACAGAGGGGCAGGTCTGGAATTTGAGCTGAAAACTGGATGTGGAGGCGCCCCTGTGTCCCATCTCAGCACATACCCTCACAAGGCAGCCCCCCGCAGACAGGGGCACAGCCCACATTAAGGAAGGAACCTGAGGCCCCAGACCCAGTGAGGAGGGGGAACCCAGGGTGGGGGCCAGGCCCCAGCCCCTTCTCATCCTCCTCAAAGCCTTCAGGTCATGGAATCGGGGCGAGGGTTGTATGGGGCTGCATTGGGGCCCGCTCGTTCCCAGGGGCTCAGACCTGCTGGGTGAAACACAGATCATAAGCTGGAGCCTGCACAGGCCTGAGAACAGTGTTTCTAATGAGGATGGATTCCCTTTGCTCCTGGCCTCTGCCTGGGCAGCTGGATTCAGACCTGTGAGACCCTCACTCAGCCACCAGCTCTGACGGCCTCAGCTCCCGCCACTGCGTTCCCTTCTTTCTCCTTTCTGCTCTCACCACCAGGTCCTGGGAAAACCTTGGAGAACCTCAGTCCTTTGGAAGCTGAGAAGAATCTGATGGGAGTTTGGGTGCAGGGCTCCTCCCCAGAGACAGAGGCAGCACCCATTGCCCTCCTCCCTAGGAGGATGGGGGTCCAGACCCCCAAGGATAGGCTGTTCCGATTACCCAACCACCCACTGTATTCCCCAACAGGGAATTTGCCCTTTAAACAGAAAATTCTCAGAAGCAGTATTGCCCCAGGCCCCTTCCTCTTCACCCACCTCCCCAGACCTGACTATTGAGGTCATTACGGTTTTTCTGTCCACCATCGGGCAGTGTGTCCACCCCCCGCCGCCTCCACAGACACACGCTGTGGAAGGGGTGGCCCACCCAGCTCCCTGAGCTCCTGGCCAGTGGTTCCTTGCCCTGGAGGGGGCGCAGTTGGGAGGCACACCCTGCACAGGTGTGCTCAGGTGGCTGGTGACCCATCAATCCTGCAGCCTGGACTTCGGCCCTGCGCCCACGTGAGGAGCAGTGGTGGGGGCAAGCCTGCAGCGCAGGAGCTCGGAAGCCCCTGGGTCCCAGTGGCTGTCCTGACCGCCTGGCCTCCTCCTACCACTCCAGACACAACGACCTCCCCTGGCAGCTCCTGGACATGTTCAACAACCGTCTGCAGGACGAGAGGGCCAACCTGAGCACCCTGACCGGCACCCACACCAACATCCCCAAGCTGAGGGCCGGCTTCGTAGGGGGCCAGGTACTGCTGCCCTACCTCGTGCTGGCCCTGCTTGGGGTCACCCCGCCTCCTGTCTTGGGCCTGGCCCCGGCAGTGCTGTCCCTTCAGGATCCCTCGGTGCCACAGGCCCTCGAAAAGGCAGCCACCCAGGCTGAGGGAGGGCTTCCCGGGGGTGGGAAACCAGACTCCTGCGGGCACGGAGGGGCGGGCTGGGACCTGGCTGCAGCAGTTCCTGGTACTCCCTGTGCTCCCCAGTTCTGGTCCGTGTATACACCTTGCGACACCCAGAACAAAGACGCTGTGAGGAGGACGCTGGAGCAGATTGATGTGGTCCAACGCATGTGCCAGATGTACCCCGATACCTTCGTGTGTGTCACCAGCAGTGAAGGTAAGATCCTGACCTGGGTCTTCCAGGTCCCAAGTCCCCCCACCCAACACTTACCCAGAGCAGCAAGTGCTGGTCAGGATACCTCATCCTCCAGAAGCCAGGCACCCCCTCCCTGCACCCTCCATCTTCTAGATGCCAGGTGCTCGCTCCCCTGAACCCCCCCACCCTCCAGACATCAGGTACCCACTCTCCTGAACCCCCTACCCTCTTGATGCTGGGTGCTCAAGCCCCTGTATCCCCCACCTTCCAGATGCCAGGTGCCCACACCCTTGCACCCCCTGCACCCCCCCAGCCTCCAGACGCCAGGCACCCACTCTCCTGCACCTGGCTATCCCTACAGGCATCCGGAATGCCTTCCGGGAGGGGAAGGTGGCCAGCCTGATTGGTGTGGAGGGCGGCCACTCCATTGACAGCAGTCTGGGCGTTCTGCGGGCACTCTATCAGCTGGGCATGCGGTACCTGACCCTCACCCACAGCTGCAACACGCCCTGGTGCGCGATGCCCCACAGGAGGCCCCTGGGCTACGGGTTGGAGTGGGGGCGGTCACTCCCCGCCACCCTCCTGAGCCCGTCCCCTCTGCCCGTGAGTCCCAGGCCAGGCCTCGCCTGTTGGGTGATAGGAGGCTGAGGCCACCGCTCACCACTTGGGACCTGCCTTTTGCTCCCACAGGGCTGACAACTGGCTGGTGGACACGGGAGACAGCGATGCCCACAGCCAAGGCCTGTCACCCTTTGGGCAGGTGAGTGGGACGAGAGGGGCTGGTCACCCCCCTCAGAGAAGGTGACCAGAAAGACAGAGCTCACCAGTGGGACTCAGTCTCCTCATCTGTAAAATGGAGCTGGCAGCCGTCCCCTCAGGGTGGGTGCTGAGCCCTGAGTGGTCCCAGACTTCCAGGCATGGAAGGACTGACGGACGCCTGGTCCAGCCCTTCAGCCTCCCCAGCCCTGACCCTGGGGGACTGTGAGGGTGGACGTGGCCCTGTCTTCCTAGCGTGTGGTGAAGGAGCTGAACCGCCTGGGGGTCATGATCGACTTGGCTCATGTGTCTGTGGCCACAATGAAGGACGCACTGCGGCTGTCCAGAGCCCCGGTCATCTTCAGCCACTCCTCGGCCTACAGCCTGTGTACCAGCCGGCGCAATGTGCCCGACGACGTCCTGCAGCTGGTGGTGAGGCCGAGGGAGCACCCGCACCCGCCGCCCTGGGCAGGCCCTCCCAGCCCTCCCAGCCCTCCCAGTCCTCAGCTCCACCCCGTCTTCCTGTGCAGAAAGAGACAGCGAGCCTGGTGATGGTGAATTTCTACAACAACTATGTCTCCTGCACAAACGAGGCCACCCTGTTCCAAGTGGCCGGTAGGTGAGGCGCGAGCGGCCGAGGGGCTGAGTGGGGAGGGTCTCCCTCGGGACCCACACCTGCTGCTCCCCCGACAGACCATCTGGACCACATTAAGAAGGTGGCGGGAGCTGGAGCCGTGGGTTTCGGTGGGGACTTCGATGGTGTCCCAAGGTAAGGGGTGAGACCCCTGTCCTGTGGATGAGCTGGGAGGGTCATGACCCCGTCGGTGGGATGGGGCAGCGGGAGGAGGGATGTGGGTCCTGGCATGAGGGCCCAGGTTCTCCTGGCCTCAACACAGACTCCCGGAGGGGCTGGAAGACGTCTCCAAGTACCCAGCCCTCATCGCCGAGCTGCTCAGGAGGAACTGGACGGAGGCGGAAGTCAGGGGCGTGCTGGCTGGCAACCTGCTGAGGGTCTTCGAGGCCGTGGAGAAGGTGAGGATGGGAACGGTCCCCTGAGCTTCCGCCACTCCCACCAGCAGGCAGGCTGCCTACCCGTGTCTGTCCCCAGGTCAGAGACCTCACACAGGCTCCCGAGGAGGAGCCCATCCCGCTGGACGAGCTGGAAGGCTCCTGCAGGACGCAGTATGGCTACTCGGGGGCTCCCAGCCTCTCCCACCGGCAGGGGTTCCTGCTGGCCTCCCTTGCTCCCCTGCTCCTCTGTCTGTGGTTCCTGTGACACTCAGGAGACCAGAGCCCCGTTTATGACTCCGGGAGCTCAGGGAACACCTGCCCACCTGAGGATGCCAGATGCCAGGAACCCTGCTGCCCACATGGCAAGGACCAGTGTCTTCTGAGCAGGCACCTGGGCTCACGGGAGGCGGGGCAAGATGCCTGGACAGCTCAGGACACGGGTACACAGTAGGCCCTTAATAAAAGCAACGTCCCATCATGTCCTAGGGTACGTGTTGTCGGCAGCCAGCCTGGGAGCCCATGCTGTCTTCACATGACAGCGTGTTTTGTGAAAATGGCTCTTGGTTGGACCTGGACGCAGGAGTGATGAGTCCTTGGTCCAGCCAGGAGGGCTTGGGAAGTCTGAAGAGGGCTTTCCGCAGACGCTGCGTGAGTGTCTTTAGGGACATGGTCTCAGCTCCAGTGGACGCCTCCAGCCACGCACTGGTGTGCACACACACTCCCCACCCCGGCACAAACACACCCCCACTCCTGCACACACAGACCCCCACCCCCACATGCACACCCCCACCCCTGTGTGCACACACACTCCCCATCACTGCACAAACACCACTCCACCCCTGCATATGCACACACTCCCCACTCCTGCACACACATAACCATCCCTGCTCACACTCCCACCCCTGCACACACCCCCACCCCTGCACATACACACCCCACCTCTGCACACACCCACCTGTGCACACACCCCCCACCCCAGCACACATACCTCCACTACACCTGCACACACATACACCCCACCCCTGCTCATACTTCCCAACCCTGCTAGCATCCCCACCCCTGCATACACAACCCCACCCCGGCTCACACCTCAACCCTGCATGCACACACCCCCATACCTACATACCCCGTCACACTCCCCACCCCTGCACACACACACCCTTGCACACATACACACCCTCCCCTGCACACATATACCGCACCCTTGCACACACAACCCCCACCCCTGCACATGCACCCTCAGCTGTGCACACATCCCACCCCTACACACACACCCCACACCTGGACACACAAACCCATCTGCACAATCCCCTGCACATGCACACCCCACCCCTGCACACACACATCCACCCTTGCACACAACCCACCTCTGCACTCACCTCACCCCCACACATGCACACCCCACCCCTGCACACACACATCCCACCCCTGTATGCACACCCCACACCACACATCCCCACCTCTACACACACACACACACACCCTTGCACATGCACAGCCCGACCCCTGCTCACACACACCCCCACCCTTGCTCACACACCCCACCCCTGCACACATCCCACCCCTGTATGCACACCCCACACCACACATCCCCACCTCTACACACACACACACACCCTTGCACATGCACAGCCCGACCCCTGCTCACACACCCCCACCCTTGCTCACACACTCCACCCCTGCACACACACATGCTCCCCACTTCTGCACACACATTCTCCCCACCCCTGCCCGCACACCCCCACCCCTGCCCACACACATGCTCCCCACTTCTGCACACACATTCTCCCAACCCCTGCCCGCACACCCCCACCCCTGCCCACACACATGCTCCCCACTTCTGCACATTCTCCCAACCCCTGCCTGCACACCCCCACCCCTGCACACACACATGCTCCCCACTTCTGCACACACATTCTCCCCACCCCTGCCCGCACACCCCCACCCCTGCACACACACATGCTCCCCACTTCTGCACACACGTTCTCCCAACCCCTGCCCGCACACCCCCACCCCTGCCCATTCTGGTTCTGTGAACACGACTAAGGGTCCAGGGATCTGCCAGGGCAGATCCACTCCCTTTGTCCAGCCTTTTTTTTTCGAGACCGAATCTTGCTCTGTCACCCAGTCTGGACTGCAGTGGCATGATCTCAGCTCACTGCAACCTCTGCCTCCCAGGTTGAAGAGATTCTCTTGCCTCCGCCTCCCGAGTAGCCGAGACTACAGATGTATGCCACTACCCCCAGGTAATTTCGGTAGAGATGGAGGTTTCACTCTGTTGGCCAGGCCAGTCTTGAACCCCTGACCTCAGGTGATCTGCTCTCTTCAGCCTCCAAAGGTGCTGGGATAACAGGTGTGAGCCACTGTGCCTGGCCCAGTCTCTTTTGGTAAATGGGGAGGCAGAGTCTGAATCAGTCTGGCTCCAGGGGCCCCTGATGCCTTGAGCAGCAGAGCCAGGTGAACCGCAGGGACAGATGTGGTCCAGGTGTACGCTATGCAGCACTGGGTCCTCCTAGGTGGCCACTGGGGTTCACTGCCTTCCCATCAGGGCCCCCACCGGCTTGTCTTGAGGTGATCACAGGGCAGGACAAGACCCCCAATGCTACTGTACCGCCCTGAGGGCCCTGGGGGTGAGGGACTGCCCACACAGCCCCCATGCATTCTGGAGTTTTCCCGCAGCTTCTGTTAGGGAGGAAATGTGAAGCCCCACGGCCCAGGTACCTTCCAGATCTGCCTTCGCAGGGAGAAGGCTGGGTAGAGGTGACCACAGCACTGGGGGTGCAGGCTGGGCCCCCAGGAGCTACTGGGAGGCTTCGTTTTCCACTGGCCAGGCCTCAGTGAGGGACTCTGAGTCAAGGAGCAGGGGTTCTGGCAACCATGCCCTCCCATGGAGCAGCAGCCCCCGAAGGTGGCTCTCCAGAAGGGACACGTGCTGATACCCTGGGATCCTCTTAGCCAAAGTCTGTGTGTCTGTGTACATATGCAGGGCGTGAGCTCCTGCACTCGGCCTCCACATCCTGGATTTGGCCATTTCTAAACACCATTCCCCACTCAAAGGAATCAGAGCTTCCTGGAGAAGTGGCTGATACTCAGGGCTGGGGCAACAGGCACCGAGGTGAGCCAAGAGCCTCCTGCCGTGCTGGGCCAGGCCATGCTCGGAGACTGCCAAGGTGGGAGGGAAGCTGACCTCAGTCTCTTGAATATGACACTATGTCTCTGAGCCCACAAAGCAAGTGCCCGCAACCATCGTAACCCACGCAGCAAACACAGACAGGTCCAGACGGATGGGAATCACGGAGGGAGTGGGGAGGGTCCTGTCTGGAATCCTCAAGAAAATCACAGTCGTTTCATTGGAGTCAATGGACACAACACTCAGGGAAAGCAGCTCGGGGCCTGCAGAGTTGTCAGGATCTTCCCACAAGGCACATTAATTAAAAAGGGAAAATGCACCCCGGCACAGTGGCTCACAACTGCAATCCCAGCACCTTGGAGGCCGAGGCAGGTGGATCACCTGAGGCCAGGAGTTTGAGACCGGCCTGGCCAACACGTAGAAACCCTGTCTCTACTAAAATGAGCTGGGCATGGTGGCAGGCACCAGCTACTCAGGAGGCTAAGGCAGGAGAATCGCTTGAACCCGGGAGGCAGAGGTTACCGTGAGCCAAGATCACTCCACTGCACTCCAGCCTGCGTGATAAGAGCAAGACTCCGTCTCAAAAATAAATGGAAAGGGAAAATGCTAACTTCACAGTGGAGAAGGCTGGGGATGCCACTGCACTCAGTGGTGAAGGGCACAGAGTCACCAGCACCAAGACACAGGGACACCACGGCCCCTGCCACCAGCAGTCAGGCAGACCTCCGCCACGTCACGTGAAAACCGCATCCCCCAAGCTGAGAACAATCTGCAGACCAGCGGCCAGCAGTTTCAAACCATTCTGGTCATGAAAGATGAGGAAGGAACTGTCCCAGATTGGAGGCGGCAGCACGTGGACACGCAACGTGGGACGTCAGACCAGAGATGGTGAGGGCAGCGTGGGTCCGGCCAGTGCACCCAGACCACGTACTGTCCAACTGTTAGGTGAGTTTCAAGTCATTTCAAAGTAAGAAGAGAACCTGAAATGGGAGGTTCTGCGTGCTGGTTGGGGCGGGCCTGAGAATGAGCAATGCCTGCCGCCCACCCCCACAGTGGACACTCCAGCTGCCCCTCAGCCTCCTCAGTGGGGGAGAGGACCACTCCAGGGGCTCACACAAAGCTCCAAAGCAAAGCTCGAGAATGTTTCCAGGGACCCATGTGTTTATTTACAACAGCATTCTAGGGAAAGGGTAAAGAGCCCCTGTCCTCGGTGCCCAAGGGGACAGGCTGAGGCAGCCCCCACCCTCCTCAAGGCTGTTACCCCTGATGGATAGAAGGATGTTCTCTCAACACCAGAGGTCACTGTGGGGAGGCTGGAGGGAACCACAGCCAGGCAGGGCCCCGACCCCCACATCCAGGATCTGCCAACACTAGACCCTCCCTGGGGACTCCCAAGTTCTGAAAAGAAAACCAAATTCAGTGAGCCCAAGTCAGGGTCTCCGCGTTCGTGCACCTAAGAGCCACATCACCGCTGCTGCCTCAGCGTAGGCGGTGGGGGATGGGCAGGACCGAGGGTGGGACCCAGACTCACCGCAGCCGCCACCACCTGGCTTTTCTACTTTGGCAAAAAGAAAAAAAGTCCTGGAAGCCTCAAGACAACAAAGTAAACGTAAGGAAATGGAAAAGACAGCAGGCTGTGCCCAACGCCCGCTCAGCAAGTCCATCCATGAGCGCTGCTGGCGGCTCCTCAGGGCCCCAGGAGCAGGTTTTCCTCAAAGCAGCCCCAGTCCAGCCCGGCTGAAGACGGCTCTCCTGGGCTCCCCTCACCAGCTGCCCTGGCTTCCACGCTGGGAAGGCAGTTGGGGTACAGTCAGGGGAGGCACCCACTTGTTGAGAGAGATGGTAGAGGGTGACATAGGGAAAGGTCGTCCAAGAGAAGCAGGCTGCGACCGGGAGGAGCCACAGCCGCACCTGCTGGGACTGCAGCCGGCCAGCCTCGGACAGGCTCCTGACGAGGAGACACAGCACAGACCGCGAGGCCAAAGGCACCTCCAGACGCAGCCGCTGCGTGAGAGTGAATTCCACAGGGTGGGCACGCTTGGATCTGGATCTGGGTGACGGTTCTGTCTCCACAGACTGGGCACTGGGCAGCTTTAGGGACTGAGGGAGCTGAGAACAGGAGGCCGGGGGCTCAGCCAGCTGGTAGGAGCAGCCGCGACCCAGTGCCTGGAATGATGGAGGAGGCGGGGTCAGTGTGGGTGGCACTGATGTCCTCCAGCATACACAGGCCTGTGGTGGCTCTTTGGGCTGCGTCTGTCCACATGGCAGGACCTCCTACCCGCTGAGGGGTGCAGAGAGGCCTCCAGGAGGTGCTTGGCAACAGGGCAGCCCTGACCCCTCTGGCTGAC